ATCATCAGTATGTATATCTAAATTTGTGGCAATATCAGTATATAAATATATATTTATTTATATTGACTATCAAAATATTTATTTCTAAGTACTCCGTTATGCACTAAGGATCATATTTGTTCCTTTTCTCGCTCATTCAGTTAATACTTAAGGTACTCACTTGCTCTTTGCAAGTAAAAAGATAATTTTACATTTCATACCTTGAATATAATTATGATCTCTGGCTAGTACGTCTATCTAGTAGGAAAAGACATGGGACTGGGGATTTAGCTCAGTGGTTCTGCTGCCTGTCATGTTGTTTTCATTTTCATTCATCTTTCAGTATTTTTAATATTCTTTAGGGATTATTTTACCTATAGATCATGTTTATAGGAAATTCCACATACTTTTGACTTTTCTAGTTTTCTGTCATTTTATTCTATAGTAGCCATAAGATACTTTGTATTATTCTATTTTTATGCAGTTTAATATTTGCTTTGTGGCCTAATTTATATTCTATTTTGCACAGTCTTCCGTATGCCCTTGACAGTATATATACTGTTTTTGTTGAGTGAAGTGTTCTGCATATTTCTGTTAGGTAGAGTTGATTTACAGAGGTGTTCAAGCCCTTCATTTCCCTAATGATCTTCTGTCTGGCTGTTCTATTATTGGAGATCGAGATCTTCCACCCTTAGAGCAAATTGTCCTTTACTTCCTTAAATCCTGTCAATTTTTGCTTAAGGTGTTTTAGGGCTTTGCTGTTAAGTGCATATAGGCTTACAATTACACCTTTTTGGTAAACTGAATCTTAATATGTGTGTGTGTGTGTGTGTGTGTGTGTGTGTGTGTGTATTGTCTCTTGCAACCTCTTTTTTTTTCTGGCAATATAGTCACACTCCAACCATCTTTATCTACATGAAAGGTTCTTTACCATCCTTCTTTTAATTTAATGTCTTTCTAAAATTATCTTGTAGATATTATACAGATGTATTGATTCATTATATCAGTCTCTGCCTTCTAACTGCAGATTTTAATTCATTTATATTTAAATTACATAGACTTTTGACACTTTTTTTTCCTGTATCTTTTTTACTCAATCCTTGCATTACTATAGCTTTCTTTGTATCTTTGGTAGAGATGCTTTTTTTTTGTAGTGTACTGTTTTTCCTTTTTCCTGTATATCTCAAATTTTATTTTCAGTGTTGACAGCAGTTCCAACTAACATTCTTCAGCATAAAACTACATCTGAATATTACCATAGTATACACATAGTACATAGTATACACTCCACTTATATATCCATCTGATTGTCTCTATACTGAGATTATATCTTTACATATTGTCTGACCATTAAAATAGATTCACAATTACTTGTATGCATTTGCCTTAATTATATAAGAAAAAGGAATCATAAAACAAAAGTACAATAATATTTGCTTTTATGCTTAGTTTTTACAGGTGTAGCTATGATTCTTTGAAGTATAAATTGCTTTTTAATATTTCTTGAAGGAATTTCTACTGGTAATGAACTCCTTTTGCTTTTGTCTGGAATGTCTTAATTTCTCCTTTTTTTTGTAGTGGGGGGACAGTACTGGAGATCAAACTCAGGACCTTGCACTTTCAAGGAAGGCGACAGTGCTACTTAGCTAAATTCCTGGCCCCTCCCTTCATTCTTAAAGGATGGTTTTGATAGAGTTCTTGTTTAACAGGTTTGTTGTTTTAAAATTTCTAGTGCATCATTCCAGTGCCTTCTACAGAGTGGTCTATTTGATTTATCCTAGAACCAAGGACCAGGTACCACACTGGGCGCAAGAAATACTGTTTTCAAGATTACTACTAAATCTTGGGAGGAGATGGGAACATAACCAAGTTAAAATGCTGCAAAGCTTCTCTACTAGTACGGTACTCACCCCCAGAGGACACTTGGCTACCATAAACTCCCGTTTTCCAGAGTTCTGACAATGTTGATTTGGCAATTTCTGGGTTCTTGTGTTTATTTCTAAAGAGGGACAGGACTTCGGGTCTGCCTCCTCACTATTTTGCTGCTACTACTTCCTCAGCTGTTAATTTAGTGCGTGCCATAAACTGCAGCTATTTCTTCCTTAGGAAAATAGCATTTAGTCAAATAGTACTCCTCCAAAAGGTGTAGGACTGTTGTGAAAATAAAGTATGGAAATGGTAATGCATTTTACAAAATGAAATGCAAATAAAATCTTATTTTAGAAGATGTTGTTTTGTAAGCCACATCAACTTTTCTCATGAGCCACATCAGTTACATTTTTATGTTAGAGGATTTTTTAAATAGTGGGCAAAAAGCTTAATTTTGCAGACATATCTTTTATCAATAGTCCTTAAATATAAGAGAAAAATAGTCATTTTATTAAACATTTTATTGAACTTTTCATATTACACAAATTGCTACCCCAAACATTTAAAATCCTAGTGAGACAAAAACAAGAACAAAAAGACATCAAACACCTCCTCTCACTGAGGCAATATCAAATAAGATTCATTGTCAAATTATAATTTTTTGTAACTATACTATACAACTTGATACCACAGTAATGATACTCAGTGACTCAAAATGTGAGACATTACACATTCAGAGAAAGGGAAGGGGGGAGAGATACATTAAGTGGTACACAAATTTTAGTGCAATGTGAAATTATTGAGGAATTGTTTTTTACTTGTATAATTTTTCAAAATCAAATCTTTCAAGAGCTGGCAGAATAATCTTTTGTTCCACAAAATCTATATGCAAACTGAGAACAAATAAGTCCATAATCTTAGATGACAAAAGATTAAAATAGATACAAATACTTGGATAGAAATATTGAAACATTTGTGCCCAAAGAATAAAGTGAGTGCTTCATGCAGTTAAGACAGAGCCAGTGCTGGAGAGTTGCAATGAGGCACAGCTGTGCAAGTGAGCAGTTCTCTTACCTTTCCAGTTTTGTGTCTAAAGGCACTGCCCAAGGTATCGAGTACTCCAACCTACAATCCTTTCCAAATTACCTCATTTTAAATGTCTTATAACATCTAATGCTGGGTGTTTGGAAGCTTGGTAAGTAACTATATTAACCTAGGTTTCTTTAAGGGCTCATAAAATAGAGAAGGATGCCCTAGGAAAGTATATACATAATTTAATAACTTGATTCATAAGTTGAAATAGGTTAGGCTTTATCAGTTTTAATTCAATCACTTTCAGGCTATTTTTACTCAAACAAACCATATACTGGAAGAGAAATATATCTTAAGCACCATGGCCAAAATCTGGGTTAGAATAAGAGGACCATTGAGCTTATGAACAACTTAATAGAATCATATCAAACTTATTAATCACACTGAATGTAAGAATACACTAATCTAACACCTTAAGAAAAGTATTCTGTGGATATTAGATTTTGGCACCCAAATTAAGGAGTAGCAATTTTATTTTATTTATTTATTTTTTACTTTTTTCGTACCAGGGATTGAACTCGGGTCCTTGTGCTTGCAAGGCAGGCCACTGAACTGCTGAGCTAAATCCCTGGCCCTGGAATAGCAATTTCAAAGACAAAAAGAGTTATCTGGTAGTTATTTTATTTATTCTTTTTTAAGTTAACTGAAAAATATTTGACCAGCTAAAATTTAAGTGCTTTATTTTTAGAGATTTCACTTTGTTTGTAAAAGCAGTAAAAATATTAATATTTTAGTGAAATATTAATATTCTAGTTTTTATATTAATCTGTATTCTCTGAGACAGAAAATAAGACGAACTTTACTTGTGTGTTGTTCAGTCTGTCTTATGATTCTATAATGAAATAAATTTATGCAACGTTATATTCATGCTTTCAACAAATCTTGAAAATTCTAATATTCAGATCAATGAAGGATCAATGAAGGATTGCACAATTTTTCATGTATAAATTCCTGATTCCATTCAGATTCTATTCCAGAAATATTCTGAAACTTAATTTTCTGGTTTCTTTCTGAAACCAGATTTAAAAGGTGGGGTTACAGCTGGGTGTGGTGGCACAGGCCCATAATCCCAGCACTTGGGAGGCTGAGGCAAAAGGACTGCCATGAGTTTGAGGCCAGAATGTGCTGCATAGGGAGTTCAAGTCTAGCCTGAACTATACAGTGAGACCCTGCCTCCAAAAACTGTTCATTCGAGAGATGCAGATGAAAACAACACTGAAATTCTACCTTACCCCAGAAAGAATGGCTGCTATCAAGAAATCAATAGCAGGGGCCAGGGATTTAGCTCAGCGGTTCAGTGGCCTGCCTCGCAAGCGCAAGGACCCAAGTTCGATCCCCAGTACCAAAAAAGAAATCAATAACAAATGCTGGCAGATATGTGGGGAGAAAGGAACCCTTCTCCATTGTTGGTGGAGTAAAGACTGGTACAACCACTGTGGAAAGCAATATGGAGATACCTTAAACAACTAGGATTACAGGTTCCATTTGAGCCAGACATCCTTCTGCTGGGTATCTTTCCAAAAGAATTAAGAGAATCATACCACAGTGATATATATGCACCTGTTTATGGCGGCATAATTGGCAATAGCTAAAACTTAGGTACAATCCAAATGCCTATCAACTGGAGACTGGATAAAGAAGATGTGGCTTTTCTATAAAATGGAATACTACTCAGCCATAAAGAACGAGAAACTAGAGACATTTATAGCTAAATTGATGCACATTGAGGCTATACTCAAGTGAAATAAATGGGACACACGAGTAAACACTGAATGGTTTCTCTGGTGTGAAAAGCTAAAAGTGTAAATAATGTTCATATAGTATAATTGAGAGCATGAAACAGGAAGAAAATGGCTAAAGGGGAAGTGGGAAGAGGAGGGGAAAGGAAATAAGGGAAAAGAAAGAATGTGATAAAAAGCAAAAAATGGAAACAAAGTCTTTGTAAATAGGGAAGGGTGAAGGGGGTGAAGGGAGGGTAGGGGTGTGGGGAAAAAACAAGAACCAAGATATATCATGTAAAGGTACAAGATCCCAATGATAAATGTAACTGTACTGTTTGCTTTAAATGTACCAATAAACTTTATGGAAAAAAATGGGGATAAGGATGAATAAATTTGAATAAATTATAACCGTCTAAGAAATATCTGGCAGTTCAAAAATATTAAAAACAATTTAAACCTCAATTGTTGGACAAAAATAAACCATACTCTAAAATATTACCCTTAAATATACAGTGTGATCATTGTATTTTTCCTTTTAGTGGAATTTAAATTTTAAAATGGAAAACAACATATTACAGTAAACGCACACCATAGTAAACATAGTTGTGACTTTTATGATGCTTTTCCAATTTTTTTCATATAACTATTTTGTTCCAACCATCCCCGTGACGCTAACAGGTAACACAAATGTCAGCCGGTATGCATTCTGTGTGGGAAACAACCCCGCAGTCACTGCCCTTCAGAGCACTAAACAGTTCATGATAAAACTGTGACCATCTTCTTGAAGAATGAAACTTTAAAATGTTTAATAATGGATCAGTCAAATGCATATCACTTTATTGTATAGTCTAACCCACCAAATTAAAGTTAGGGACAATTTTCTTTTTAATTAAATTGATTGTTCTTTTTTATTTGTTGAAATGTTCCCCCACATTCCACCCCAACTATACAAAATGCATGAATTGTTTGTTTCTTCAATATTCACCCAAATGTATTTAAAGAAAAAATGTTAAGGATATCTTGCTTTCCTCTTCAAGTATTTCTAGTTTGGAGAATGACACTTTAAGCAAAAACAGAGGAAAAATAAAATGAAGGTGTTATTTAATGAGTATATGTTAGGCAAAAGACACAAATCCTCAGCTGAAGTTTATCTCTTCTAAGTTAAGTTACTCAGAAGTGAAAGACAAATGACGTTTCTTTAAGTACACAATTTATAAATATGGAAACAGAAATAGCTGCATGATTATTTTACATACTTTCTGTAAGTGTGGCTCTAAAAATAGACTGACAATTCACATAACTAAGCAAACTGAACCCTGTAAATGTATAATAAATTTTAAGTGGCTGGCATTGAAGTGCTGGCTTTGTATGTGGTCACAGATGCTATAAATGTTTAAATCTTTGGGCATCTTGGCTTTTTGATGTTTTACTCTGGTGTTCAAGCAAAAAGTGTATGATTTCATTTTATGCAACAAGCTGATCTACAAGTGGAGAATTTGTAGGATAAAGGAAATTCCAAGTTATATATATGTACATAGATATAATACACATATACAACCATTAAAATAGTTAGAGGTAATGCAACATAAAACCCCTCAATGTCTGCTTACTGACAGCCAAATCTGATCCTTTTTCAAAAGTGACATAATTTATTTGTTTAAAAGTAAAACTTCACTGATACAGTGATGTTCCACTGCATTAAGGATAATATGCCAGTATCAATCTAGAAGATGAAATAACTATAGCAAATATTAAGGTCAGATAAAACAGATTCAACTCAATGAAACTTCATTTTATATTTGATGACAATTTTTTGCTTTCTCTTAGTATCATTTTTACTTCAGCTGCTAATTTTTAGTTCAGTTTACTAGTGCTGCACTAGCTAAAATTTTATTCTTAGGTGTTAGTTCTATTGAGCTTTTAAACTTGAAATTTTTTTTTAAAAGAAGAGCCAATACAATCAGTACAGACCTTTTCTACCAGTTTCACTTTCTAATCCATTTTTCCCCCCAGTACTTCACTTTTATCCTTTATAAATTTCATAGCAAATTATCCAGATTACATCTGGACTAACCAGTGATAGATATTTCAAATGCTATTTTGAAGAAGTGTAGAGTAAATAATTTTGGTAATCTGTAAGACAGCTGCATGTAATGTGTACTGTATTATAACAGCACCAAACCCTTTATAAAAACCAAGGACTCCTTCCTCCTGCTTTATAGTATTGATACAGTCTCTCATTCCCTCATACTGTGTATTAATTGGAAGCACTTCATAGCCAAGGTCTGTATTGTCAATTATTGTGCGTGTTCCTTGAATGTGAAGGCGGTGCAAAACTGTTTCCAGTGGAAAGAGAATAACATCAGAGCAAAGACTGGCAGCAAAGTTAGCAATAAGTTCTGGAAAATAAGCATCCAACATACTCTGCACAGGGCTACTGCTCTCAGCTAGGTGGCTATTGTAAGTCTTTCTCTTTAGAATTAGTAGGACAAACTTCTGAATGATTGAGCTGATGATGTAGTGAAGAACTCCATGCAGCACCGTAGGGAAGATCAAGGAAAGAAGAGGAAGGAGTCGTTTGCTATGAGGCACTCCCAAGCCTATCACCCTTCCGATTCCTTCTTTCACACATTCCAAAATGCCAGCATTGTCTCGAATTATCTCACTCTGAAATGAAAAAGATGAAATAAAACTTAACAGTTGCTTATTTTGCCACACAAAGAAGGAATCTTTCTAAGTCTCTTTTAAATTAATGTACTGGCTAAAGAAGAAAAACATCAATGATTCGCAGACTTCAACTATTCTCTAGGCATTCACCCCACCACCCCACAAAGTCTGGTAGCACTGAAGTCAGGAGGAATTTTTACTGGAGCAGGGAGATCAGGGAGGAGATACAGAGTTGTATACCTAATCTCATAGACCATCTCAGCATTCAGAAGCAACTACTTGATGCCTCAAGAACAACCTAGGGTTTCAGAGTCCTTAAACAAGAATTTAAATGCTGCCTCTATTACTTACTGGTTAAATAATCATTGCCAAGTTACTTAACTTCTCAGTGTAAGTGCACCATTGTACAGAAATGAAAATCAGTACCATCTACGGTTCGTGCAGAATTCTATTAAATGAAAAACAGGCCTGGTACCCAGTAGCACTCAGGAAACAGTCTTTTTATCATCTGAAAAGTCTGTCTTTTGTTTATTTTAGAGACAAGAATAAGAAAGTTTGTGATATGACTAAGCTCACTAGTGTAGACTTGTAATCCCAGCTACTAGGGAGGCAGAGGTCAGGCTGAGCAACTTAGTGAGACCCAGTATGAAAATTAAAAAGAAGAAGAAAAAAGGCTGAGGGTAAAGCTCAGGGGGCAAGCGCTCAGTGATGGAGTGCTTGCTTAGTCTGGGCAAGGTTTCTCAGTTCAATCCCCAGTACTAAAACCAACCAATTAATCAATCAGTCAGTCAATCTAAGCAAGTTTGTAGCAAACTGAAACGGACGAGAACCAAATTGAATTCAATGGTTAGGTTCAATGTTGACCTTATGGGGAAATTTGATTTGGTTCTCAACCAATTTGGTTTGTGATCAGAACTGTGGCAAGAATTCAGTCTGTGAAGTGAGATATCACTGTAATTCAACTGTAGTTTTAATATCACAAGCAACAGAAATGGCTTGATGCATTGCACTTGGTACATGAAAGAGAGGAGTGAAAAATGTCCAAGTATGTTGGCCACCGGTCCTGAAGAAATACTACTGCTGATGTAGTGACTTGGGAGAGTAGACTAAGAATGAAGAAATGTTAAGTATCAATCTAGCTTATGAGAAAAAGGCTCAAGCAGACCATATTATGAACATGGAACTCCTCAGTAAACAGATGATGTTTTAAACTGTGTGACTAAAATAAATTCACCAAGTTTACTAATTACTATGGTTTAGATGTCAAATGTCCTCCCAAAGTCTCAGGTATTCAGAGGTGAGGCTTTTGAAAGGTGGTTAGATTATCAGTGGATTAATAGCCACAGGGAGGTGGGTCCTGGTCAGAAAAGCTGGGTCCCAGGGGGGTGTGGCCTGAAAGATGTATTTCCTTTCTATGGTTTCCAAACTTCTGTTTCCTGACTGTCATGGGTTAAGCAGCTTTCCTCTTCTATGACCTTTTACCATGTTGTTTGTACCTTGGAGCCAACTAACCATGGACTAAACCTTCTGAAACGACGAGACAAAACAAACTTCTCCTCCATTAAGTTGCAAGTGTGAGGCATCCTTGTTCCAGTAATGGAAAAGTGACTAATCCACTAATTCATTTCTCTATCTCTTACCTTGGTCTCCTTCCCACTTCAATCTATATTTAAGACAATAACCAAAGAGAGCCTAATAAAGGCATAAGTCAGATTCTATTGGCTTTCTGCTCAAACCCACCACCTCTCTAAAAGGCTAAATTACTATAGTAACTTACAATGTCTTATGTCATTGGGCCTCTTTTACTATCCAACCCCAACTTCCATTCTCCCCTACCTTGTCTAATTAGCACCAATCATATCTGACTCCTTTCTATTCTTTGAAACACATATAGTACCATCCTACTAGAAGGACCTTGCACTTGCCTCCCTTCTACGTGTTATGTCCTTTGAGTTTTCCATGTTTTCTCAGCATTAGACTTTACTCAAATGTCATCTTTCTTCTTAGTGAGGCCTCTCCTAGGATCATCTTAACAAATATTAACCATTCTTCCTACCCATTACAAATCCTATTTGTCTTTTCTGCTTTATTTTTGCTTTCTTTAACACTTATCACCATCAAACATACTGTACTGGTATCCTGTTTATGGCTGCCTTTCTCATAAGCATACAAGTGCTGTGAGGACAGAACATTTATGTCTGTTTTATTTGTTGCTATATCCTCAGGGTGTACAAGTATGTGATAAAAACTGGCATTTGTGAATATTTGATGAAGAAAAAAAAGTTTAGCAGTTAAAGACAATGAAACAATAAAGCAAGGATACAATGTTCAAAGAGATCTGAGCTCCCCCAAAGGGGCAAAAAACCCACTGAGCTTGAAGTCAGAAGACAGATACTCCAAGAAGCTGGTTATGCAATAAAGGAAGAATCACAATGATGGCTTATGGGATAGCGGGGAGAAACAAACTCTGGACACTGTCATTGGAACTAACAAGTCATGATGGATGATCAGTTATAAAGGATGAAAAGAACAAAATAACAAGATCATCGAAAATTAAAAATTTTAATGAGGCTGAAGATAACAAAGTATCATTAATAGAAAGGAAAAAGATATTTAAATTGAAACTAATTTTCAGATTGATGAGTTGATTTTGAGATGAAAGATTAGAGCTGAAATGATTCATATGTGAAATGAGCTCTCTCAGAATAATCATTATAAAATGAAAAAGAGAGAGAGGATCAAAGATAAAGCCTTAAGATACAATAAAAGAGATAGTAGGAAAAAAAGGTTAATGAAAGATGATTTCAAGAGAGCAGAAATTTGGGAAAAAATGAAAGAATTTTACAATAGCAGACAAAAGGAGTCAAAAGGTGAGTGTTAATAAGTAGGGCATGGAGTAGGAAATACAAGGAGAGTCAGGTTAAAAACACTGAACAACAGTCACACACTGAACTGGAGACTTACACAAATACTTCAGCATGTAACTTTCAAAACTCAGTTATTAGAATAACATTACCATTTTATGGGTGAGAAATTAAGATTTTAAAAGGTTAAAAATGTATCAAAAGTAATAGATATAATTTACGTAGAGAAATGTGAACCTCACTGGAATCTGTTCTAAACTAAAACTTTTTCCCCCAATAAGTCAAGCAGTTTAGTTTTCTTTAAATAATTTTATGCTATTTTTTCATTATTTTTAAGATGAGGATATCTTACTGAGTGACCACTGTAAATTCTTTAGTACTACACAAAGGCATTTAATTTTTTCTTTTAACAGAATACCAAATGCAAGAGCAAAGAAAGGAAATTATGTTTGAGTTACAAGATGTTATCTTCAGTTAACTGAAATCAGTTCTAATAGAAAAAAAACCCCACAAGATTAACAATGGGATCAGCAAAGAAATGAAGAGGAAAAGAATAATTAGAAAGACTAATTTAGTAGAGGTTTTTCTAGAGAAGGCATTTATATATACTGAAGAAAAAAATACTACAGGATCTGATGTTGGAAATAGAAAATAGGTGCATATACAAGTAGACTGTGCATAAAACTACCTCCATCTTATGGTTTTAAATGCAGAAAGTATATAGTGAGCTGCTGTATGAATTTAATTAATGTACTTAATGCGCCACCCTGTGGTTAAAAATAGTTAAGACAAGCAGACAGAAATTAAGGTTAGAGGCAAATTGCCTAAACTTTCTAGTAGTTATCACAGCAAGGGTATCAAATAATGGTTTAAAAGTACTGTCAGTAAGGTACTTATGAGTACCACATACACACTGCTAGGATGTCCAGCTTATACTCAGATAATTAATATAATGCACTAGAGGCTATCACCATCACCATCTACACATAGGGCTTTAAAGTTTATATATTCTTTGTATGCACATGTCACAAGTTGGGCTGTGACATATCAAAATGAAGAATATAGCTGCTTATAGGGAAGGGAGGAAAAGGATTAAAACTCTAAGTGTGACCTAAGTTTGCAATGGAAATATACACATCATCAATGTGATACATGTATGGTATTTGTGAAATACATATTTTTAAAGAATGCTGTTTTAAATTGTTCTGCTAGTCATACATATAAAATATACTGAGCATTCAAAAAATATTTAACTAAAAAATTTGACAACACAGAAATAGCTCACCTGGACTGTTTCAATTAGACTTGCTGAATAAAAAGGCATTGCCACAATATAAGTTAGGCTGTAGAAATTAAAACAGATTTATCAGCATACTGAAACAAAATGTTAATAGATTTTTTAATATCTACATTCATATTTCAGCATTATTTATATTCAAGTTATAATGACCTTTCTAAGATTTTCAACTATGAAGACTTCTGGCTCTAATATGAATTTCAGAAGCCTCTAACATAGGATGCTTTCTTCAACAAAGATGAACACAGGGACAGCCTTTACAATAAAACAGATTTTATCATAAGACAATAAAATGTAGGATAATTAATAGTTCACTGTTTAAACATCAAACTGGATAGAGCTAACAGAGCCTATAAATCTGATGCTTACAATTTAGGAGGAGGGATCTATTCCACAGCTTGCCTTTTTAGTGATATTTGAACAAGTTTACTTTCCTGCTATTATCCTATTGTTGATTCCCAGATTTCCCATCCAGTAGAGTTAGGTCAGCCTTCAACAGTGGGTGAAGTCCCCATTTACTGTTAAAAAACAATATTGTACAGCTTTGCAAAGTTGTTTCCTATCATCAAATATTTAGACATAGTGAATTACAACTTTGCAAGCCTGCAAAATATAGTTATTTAAAATCATATCAAAGTGGGACTTACCTAACCCTTATGGGCCAGGTCCTGGTAAGTAGTGGTTTTCAAGCTGAATGGAACATCACTAAGTAATAATGTGCTAGAATGCCCCATAGAGGGAGCCAGCAAGCTGGGGGGGATTTCCAATTCACAATCTTTAAAAAAAATTAAAAAATGAAGAGTAAAATTCTAATCTACAAAAATGATTACTGTTGTAAAATCACCAAGTGCCTTTAGGACTTCATTTCAATGTCACCCAAGTTTTAACTCTGCTCATCATCATATAAACAGATTTACAGATCTGTTTAGTAATAAAATACAGGTTGAGTATCCCTTATTAGAAATGCTTAGGGTCAGAAGTATTTCAGGTTTGGTAATCTTTCTTTCTCTGATTTTGGAATCTTTGCATGTACATCCTTGGGATGAAACCCAGGTCTAAACATAAGATTCATTTATGCATCATATATACCTTATGCACATAGCTGAAGGGAAATTTACGATATTTTTAGATTGGTTTCATTTTGACTATGAACCATCACATTTGGAGAGGTATGGAAAATTCATTACAAAAGTTTTAGATTTTGAAGCAGTTTGGCTTGGGATGCTCAACCAGTGATAACACTTTTCTCAGAAATTTGGGCTAAACAAATCGAAGGTCTTTGCTAATGTCCTATGAATGCAAGAAAAAGAGGGCTGATTCTAGCTTTTCATATTAGTAAGAATTATTTTAAGGATCACATGCATTTCTGGATTTTAGTCTTTCTTTCTTTGTACTGGGGATTGAACTTGGGACCTTGCGCTTCCGAGGCAGGCGGTGGAACCACTGAGCTAAATCCCCAGCCCAGGATTTTATTCTTAAACTCTATGTCAGTTGCCTTTTGAAGATTTATTCCCATAAATATTTCATTCTAATTTTCTTCACTGTATTTATTAGTAAATTTTTTTAAGTTCTAAAGCTACAAAATTAATGAAAATTTCCAATTAAAATGTCATTTTTGATACTTACGCTTTCAATAGAAGGTGTTCACCTATTTGTTTAGGATTCCATTTGTGTGAAACCTCCCTAAAATGTAAAAATAAACTCAAATTGAACAAAAGCCATCTTATTTAAAATGCAAAAGAGACCTTTCCTTATATTTATTCTCTACCACTTTATGAAATGGGTACTTTACTAAGATCTAGAAATTTAATTTCCCATATTTAAATGATTCAGAAAAGTAAAAATGTGATACATTTTTTGTATATTTCATTATAAATACCAAACATGTAAATATATTTGGTTTTCTAATTTCAAGCAAAAGCTACCATGGCAAATGAATAACAAAACTGTTTTGGTACCAGGGATCGAACTCGGGTCTTTGTGCTTGTGAGGCAGGCAGTGGCCCCAATGAGCTAAATCCCTGGCCCACAAAATTTAAAAAATTGATTAGGATACTTTTCTCAAAACAGTCTACTTTTCCATTGACAGATTAAATAAATATTCCTATGTAGTCAATACATACAAGCAATAAAATCTAAAGTAATTCTATATCTAAGTAGACATGGTCAAATATCTGTCCTCTTGAACAAAAAAACAAACAAAAACAGGGCCAGGGATTTAGCTAGTGGTGCTGCCGCCTGCCTCACAAGCGCAAGGTCACAAATTCAAACCCCAGTACCAAACAAAAAACAAAAACAAAAACAAAAACATCTTCCCTTAACCCAACCCAAATCTTTCATCTTCTTATTACCTCCCTTCATCTACTTTCTTCATACCCAACTTTCTAAACTTAACTGTTTCCACATTCCAACTTCCCATTCACCTCAAAACCCAGTACCCCGTTATCCTATAAAATAGCTCTCACTACATTCCCCAAAACCTCTGCCTCACTGAGTCCAAAAGGCATTTTCAGCATGTATCTGATTTGAATTTCAACAGCCATCAGCTCAGGTACTGTCATTCCTCTGTGGTTCTTGAAGCAGTTTTTGACCCTGAATTCCACCAGCCCGTACTATTCTGGTTTTTAGCCTCCTTTTTGGTATTACTTTCTGAATTCTTTGCAGGATCATTTTTCTTAATCAGATACCTACTGCTGGAGTTTCTAAAGGCTCAGGCACTCTGCTTTGCTTACTCCATTTGGTATACTAGGCACTTTCAAGAGTACAGCTTGAAAATCTCTCAAGTTTAACTTCTACTGACTTTTCTATATACATGCCTTATATCATTTGCTTACTGACAATTCCACCTGGATATGAAAAAGGATCTGAAAATGAACCAAACTAGAGAAAAAAATCAAATTTAAAGTATCTCTTTTAGTGTTCTCTATTTAAGACTTGTTAACCATAAAGGAGTGGACCGAATTTAAGGAATTCAAGGACTATTTCATTGTGTTTGAAACAGTTGAGTATTTAAAAATAAGTGAATTCAGAGGAATCATTTGGAGAAAAAAAGCAAGATGTTTATATTGCACAACCATAAACATGAAATGACTCAAAACTAAGTAGAATTTCAACTTGAGTTTTGTGAGAGATTAGTGTATAAGTAGCCTTGGTTACAGGCGCTCCTACCTCATGTTAATGATATGAGAAAGGTCACAAGCCAATAAAAGGAAGGATCCTCTGGGGTAGATTAACAACAGGTGGTCTAACTCACTTCAATTGGGCAATGGCTAGGGAGGGGATGGGAGATGATGACAGTAAAGAAAGAGAAGGCAGGCGATGATTGTGGGTCATATACATTCTTTTTTTTTTTTTCCTTGTTGAGTTTATTGGTACATTTTAGGAATAGAGTACAGTTACATTCATTATTGGGATCTTGTACCTTTATATGACAGGTATTGGTTCTCATTTTTTCCCCTTGTCCCTGCCCTCCCTTCACCCCCTCCACCCCTCCCCATTTACAAACATTTTATTTCCATTTTGTCATTTTCTCATATTTTTTTCCTTTCCCTTATTACCTTTCCCCTACCTTTCCCATTTCGCAATGCCTTTAGCCCTTTTCTTCCTATTTCACATTGTCAATATCTCATTAGGATCTTATATTATACATTCTTAAAAAAAGAAATGCTACTGGGAAATTATTACATAAGGTCGTTGACTTCATAAGCACTAGAGACCAGTTGTATTTCTCTGAGGTGACCATAATCAGTATAAAAATAAATAGTGGCTAATCCACACTGTTACACCTGATCTAATAATCATTTGCAGTCTAGAAGAAACTGGTAATGTCAACTAATTGCTTTGAGTCGATGCTTTGGATTGTTTTGTTTTGCCATGGCTATACTTTCTCCCAAGAAAGGTCACAACCCTACCCAAAGAAGAATACCTAAAAAAGAAAAAGAATAATGGCTTATTATCAGATTCTGGCTTTGATTAGATTATTCAGATAATGGCTCTCATCACAAAATAATAATAATGTCTGTTGATTACAAAGCCTGAATTTCTAGAAGCCATCTTTAATACCACCCCCTTTTTCATCTACTATTCTTCTTTGATCATCAAGTTCTATCAATTTTACCTAAGTATTTTTAAAAACTGTCCATTTACCTCAATTCAAAAGACACTATCCTGGTCCTTGATATTATTTCTCAGTTTGATTATTTTTATAAAGTACTAGGATGTCTCCTTTTATCCATTTTGGCCTTCCTTTAATCTCATTTTTGCTAAAATGACCCTCTGAAAACACAAATCTGATTCCATTGACTATACTCAAAACTCTTTTGCATTCTTAAAGTGACCTACAAAATCATGCACAGTGTGGCTCGCACCTATTTCTTCAACAGTATCTTATATCCCATTCTACCTCGCCCTCTGGCCCGCAGCCACATGAGCCCTAGCTCCAGTACTTGGACTCTCAATCCTCTGTATTCCACAGCACATTCACACAAACAGGTGAGTACGTCCTTTGCACTCAGATTAAGTATAATGCTACTGGGAACCCTATGATTCTCAGAGAACCACATTCTTTCCAATCGGAGAACAAATTTCTATTTGTAATTACCCTGTTTGTTTTGTTCCACAGCTCAAAACCTCCTCATTTTGGCCTAGTAAAATTCCACAAAGTCTGCGAGCACCCAGTCATCTTTTATTTTTTATTCTACCAATCAAGTACAACTTTGATCAAAATATCCCTATACTAAAAAATAAAATAAAATAGAAATGCCCTAGATTTCCAACTCCATAGAGAATAAAACATTATAAAATTATATTCATACTTCAGCATTTCAGCTTCTCTTCCTAATATTCTACCCAATACATATACAATATTCCAGGACTAAGTCACTTCTTTCTATTAGCTAAATTGTCTAAATTCCCTAACACTGGACATTCTGTCACCCCTTCTTGGAATGATCTCTTTTTCGGTCAAGTCAACTCTTATTCATAATTCAAGATCTAGCTTAAATTTCAGTAATTTTTAAAAATCCTTACCAATAACTCCAGGTACAGTATCATTTAGCCTCTGAAGGGGATGATTTAATTGTAGCATGACTAATACAATGTATTATAACCAAACTGGTTACACAAAGAATAGGAATTGTTCACATACTCAAATTTGTTCCTGAGTTGGTACTTGCTGGCAAATAGCAGAAGCTGAAAAATTATATCTCAGCAGATACTAGAACGTGAAGCATTTTTCACACACGAATTCAACAAGATATAATTAATGGCATAATTCTGTCATACTTGATAAGACATAATTCTGTCTTAGCTTCTACAAATAAGTTTCAGATTTAAAGAGCTTTTATAGATTTTTCTTATGTATTATAAACTAATGCTGAGGAAATGCCAAAAAAGGTACCTTGGCAAAGGTGTGAATTCACTAATTATGCCTTCTGCTCCAAGTGTGACTCCTTGGACAATGAATGTACTTCCCATTCCTTTCCAGAGGGCTCTGGGTCCCTAAAATTAACAATATTTTCTGTTATTTCTGCAAATGCCTAAATAATAGATACAAAAAAAGATCTTAATAAAACTTGATTATAGATAAATATGCATTTTTCTAATAGAAATGTTTTAGACAACTGTAACTAAATGGATTTGCATCATTGTTTTTATATTTGTTAGGTGGCCAATATTAAGGCCAAGATGAACACTCTAAATGGACACCCCTAAAGATTAATTTATTAAATATCTCTAATATCTATATATTAAATCCTTATAGTCCTGCCCTATGGATGACCCAGAGGAATTTCAAAATTTATATATCCACATATAACTTAATCCTATCTATTCATACCATCCCAATTCTGTCCTTCTCTGCTGTATTTTCTATTTCCCTAGATGTCATCTTCACCATCCTATGTCTAAACTGTATATCTGGATAACATTTTTCTCACTATTCCCATCCAAGCAGTCACCAAGTTCTATAAGCTGTGCTCTCTGTCTTGCAAATCCATGTTCTTTTCTTCAATAGTCTTCTCCCTTTTCAAAATACCAGTAGTGAAATTCCTATTCTATTTATTTATTTTCTCTTAAATTCTTTTATTCATACATTTTAGGTATACAATATATTTACATTCATCATTGTGAACTTGTACTTTTACATGATGTATCTTGGTTCTTACTTTTTCCCCATTCCCCTGGCCTTCCTTCAATGCTTCTGCCCCTCCCTATTTATAAATAGAAATAAAGCCTATTCTATTTATTTATATATTAAGTAACAACATAAAAACACACTCAAAATAAGTCATAGAGTATCAGAGACAAAGTTATATCCCAATTTCCTGGCAGAAGTTTCCTACTGATCTTCAAAGACAGAAGTATATCTCTGTGTGTATGTACAGATATAGAAATGCTTTTATTTTGTTCACTTTTTTTTTTTTTCGGTACCAGGGATTGAACGCAGGTCTTTGCACTTGCAAGGCAGGCAGTGGAACCTCTGAGCTAAATCCCTGGCCCCTATTTTATTCACTTTTAACAGGTAAAGCTAACTGGAGCAATTGAAAAAAAAGGGATTATTTCATAGCAGTATACACAGAGCTACCTTCTTTTTCAAAAAGGTACATGGTGCTTTGCTAAATAAATATACCATAATTATTTCAATGGTACTCTATGGATAAACATTTAAAATTTTCCAATTTCATTATATGCAATGCCACAACATCCTTCTGTCACATTATTGCATATTTACGTACACATTAATGTGGAAAAAATCCTACAGTGAAATAAGTCAAAGAATATGCACATTTTAAATTTTGATGGACATTGCCAAACAACTCATGAGTAACTTTGCTCATTGCTAAAATCCATCAATGATACTTTTAGCTGTTAAAATTAAGTGTGCAGTTCTTGTAAGGTTATTGTTGGTATCCTGCCTACTTCTCTAGTTTTCATCCTTAACCTCTGCTCCAAGCTCCCATGATAATGCACTAAGTCCATTCTCAAACATTACAACTTCTTCTCTTCTATCTTTGCACATCTACTTATAAAACCTTTTGTCCACCCCTGGCATTATGTAAACTTAACAATAAATATACAACTCAATGTCCCTTTTCCCAAAGTTTTCCCCACCGATATTCTGTGCTCAATGCCAGTTTTGACGATACCACTCTTCTACATTCTGACGGCATTTTATACTTCCAATGTTGCATCTTCTTATACCACAATCTTCTGATGAAGTTTTTGTTTACAAGACTAAATTATAAGCCTCTTAATAACAGAGACATATTCACAGCAGCTGCTAAATTCTTGGACCTTGCATAACTCTATAATTCTGTTAAGTTAATTAAATAAAATTTTGGAAGATTTCAAAAGGCATCATAACTATGAGCCATTAGGTTTACTATAAAAGTTAAGATATTTTTGCTAACCAAATTAAAGGAATTATTCTTACTTTAATGATTGCTAACTCAGATGACAATTATATATAGCTTTACTAGACCCACAGACTCACTCTTACCTGAGTTTTGTTGAAGCTGTACATAATGTTGATGACTGTAAATGGAGTGAGATGATAATGCCGAGCATGGTAATTAACCTGCAAAAAAGATACTATGTATTTTTTTCTGTTCTTTCGTCAAGAAATAATAAAGCCATGAAAAATATTGCAGGATAAAGAAGTTAAATTCTAAACTCAAATAAGTTATACATAAGCAAAATTAATTTTGAGTGTTCCAAGTCTTTCAAAATAAGACATACATTATTAGATAAATATAATATGAAAATGAATGCATCACATACATAGTAATGTAGATAATATAACAAGAGGTCTTGACATTTGTATCTAATAAAACACCACTATTATATCTCCCTACTCATGCTCCCTCTAGGCAACCATTTTACAAAGTCCTGTATATGTTGTAATCAATGAGTAAATTATGAAATCAGTAAAGAGTCAAAACAATACACATTGGATCACAATGTAATATTATCACTATGTAAAATATGTATGTCTGAAATATACTGTTCTGGGGGATATATACTGCTAATGCTATGTTCATTTCTCTTTACACACTTATTTTTCAGTGCTATGCAAAAAGAATTGGCAAAGATTTATATTGTTTTGCACTCTAATAGCAAACAAATATGGAATGAATTATTTTGCAAAAAGGAAAATTACATGATAGCAGTATTTGCTAAACTGTGGGTAACTGATTCTCCAGGACTTTTACTCTATCAGAGGATTAAGAAGTTCAAAATTATATTTATTCTTAATGATGCCAAAGTATTTCTCTGTGTTGATATTGTGACTGATGGTTCAAAAGCAATGGTGAGTAAAACTGTAAGCTCACAAATTAAAGCAGTTGCATCAAATTATATACATTTTAAAATTTATTGTGTCCTTCACCCTGCATATTCACAGGAAGAAAAAGTAATCACTTAAGAATATCCTTGATACAGCCAGGGATTTAGCTCCGTGGTTCTACCACCTGTGCAAGGTCCCAAGTTGGGTCCCTGGTACCAAAATTAAATAAATAAAATAAATAAATAAATGAATATCATTGATAAGGCATAAAAATGCTAATTTTATGAAAACTTGACCCTGAGTACATATCCTCTTTCCAATATCCTGTGTGTTAGTAATTAATCATAGGATATAAGATGCTGTTGTTAGGGAAAGCTCTTCTATGCTTAAATTGCAAGGCGATGTAGCCATTTTTTTCATGGAATACCATTTTTACTTGAAAAACTCACTGGCAGACTATAGTTATTCATATTTCAGACAGACACGTTCTAACAACTGAACAAAATTAGCTTGTTGATTTAAAAACACTAAGCTTCAGTATTTTTTTCAATAAGTTTGGATTTTCAAGTAACATAATTTTGGGAAATCTGTATCTACCATCAAAAAAACAAAATAATTAAGACTTCTGGTGCAATCAGCTGTACTTTCAATGAAGATGACATTTTTGATACTGTATAATCGAATACTGTTAACATCTGGAAGATTTATATATCTTGGTGAATCAATACTCTTAACCAATACATGGTAAAAATAACCATTCAAAACATTTAAATCAATGTAGTCTTTTTAAGGTAGAGTATAAAAAATTAATGTGGTTTCAGGTTTCACACTGCAAATAACCTTTAGCGAGTGTTGGTGTAATTCCAAAAAATACCCACAGTTGATTGTCAACTCCTGTTATGCCACACATTAAAGAAATCTGCAAACCATAAAATGTTATTTTCATAAATAGGCCATTGTTAGCATCTAAAGTGATTATTTTGATGAAATTAACACATTAAAATCTCCCCACTTTTCACTTCCGAAATGGCAAGTATCAATAAAAATGACCAATATAATGCCAAGGTCATAGGAATTCTTAATAATTTCTAAGATATTAATGAGGTCTTCATATCAAATAGTTTGAAAAGGTTACATGTTTTCTTGTTATTTATTTGAATCCTGCACTTGAAATCAGGATCAGGACTGTCAAGAGAATTTTATTTACCTGACATTGGCGGCGTAGAACTATGCAAGGATGAGCCAGTACATTTTCTGTGAAGAGACTAGATAAAATAATTTATGTATACATGTGTCTATACACAAATTTTTTTACATATATTTCCACATTATTTTTTAAAATAATTCTGACATTGCCTGAAGAATCATGCATTAACAAATAAGAGTATAAGGATGAGAAAACAGCTCTGTATGTTTAACATGGGAATTGCTACATCATCTAATTTCCATTTCTTTCCAAAAATGTTCTATGAACAAAGTTCCTAACAGCAAAACTATCTACTTCTAGGAAACAAAACTGTAAAAAATTTTACTTTGATATACTTATCATTTAAATTACAGGATTTTTAATGGTCATGTTAATTAACTGTCTCATATATCAAATATTTTTTTTAAATGTGGGTTTAAGCTCTAATAGTAAAATATACATACATGCACATATGCACTCAAATATAGATAAATATCATAAAATTAGAGCATTCAGTATAAAAAGTGAGACTAAAAAGATTAACTTGCAAAATGAAAAGCTTGTATTTTATTTATATTGACATTAACATCCTCAGATTTATGCAAATAAATCTTTTTTCCAGTTCAAAATGAAAGTCATTCCAGGACAAAATATAAACCCTGCACAAGTCCATATGAAACTGCATTCACCAAAAATCACAGTAATTAAGATCGATGATTTTTCTTAAATAAAATGATCATTAGGAATAAAGAGATATAAAGCTGATCACCAAATGCTGATGCTGTTAAGTATCTTAGTAGCATTCAGATATTTAGAGAGAAAGCTCAAGGCACAATTTTTTTTTTTGGTTAACATGGAGATATGATTATATTTGATTATATTCTTCCAATAGATACATAAGAGTTGTTATAATACTCATTACACAATTGTTTATGAAGTTGAATTACCAGTGTCTACCATCACTGGAAGTTACTGATTTTAAATTATGATAATTTTTCTACAAAATATTATGTAATATTTAATCTGCTGCTCCAAAAAACCATTTAAATACTAATCATTTAATATTATAAATTAAACAAAAACTCTAAATGAAAACTTAAACATTACCTTGCAAGTCCAATACCAAAGCCAGCAAATCTATTCAACTGTTCTAAAATAAAAAGAATAAGATTAGTCATGACCATTATTTAGATTTCTTATAAAAACAAAAAAGATTCGTCCCATATCACTATGTTGTTCAACTAAACTTCAAGTCAAATTCTAATAGAAGCCAGAGGGTTAATCTGAATTAGTGAAGTACTCTGGATGGATGGGTGGGAAGGTCATTTGGCCAGTTACAGAACAACTGCTCTTTAACTCTAACTGATTCTTACCATATAGGGATGTGGGTCCAGAGTTCATAAGTTGTGACTTTTTTTTCAAAAATGATATTCTTGTATATAAACAAATCTTCCAATTTTCAAGTATTGGCACTGGTAATTATTTTAAAAAGTTTTAAGCTTTGTGTGGGCTAAATCAAACAAGTATGCAGATACAATGTACAGATTACCAGTGCTAGTGCCTGAACCCAGGGCCTTCACAAAAGCTACATCCTCAGACCTTTTTTATTTTGAAACAAGGTATTACTAGGTTGCTAAATTGCATAGATGGCCTCAAACTTGCAGTCCTCCTGCCTCAGCCTCCAAAAGCACTGGAATTACAAAGAAATTATCAGCCTTCAACACCTGACTGTCATCAAAAATTTCTTCTATGTTACCCATGACTGATATTTATGTCAAAATCTTGACCTCTCATGCTGTAAAACTAGTTATCCACTGTTACTGATGACAGAGCACCTTGTTAAACCAATAGCTCCAAGTAAAACACCTCAAAATTATTAATTTGAAAAAGTACTTAGTATCACCTAAATGGGTAAATGGAACTCTCTTCTTCCAAGTTTTTAAATAGTCTTAGAGTAGCTGTTTAGTTCAGTCTCTATGACAGGTGAATGGATACCTATGTGCTGTTACTAAGGCATTTTAGTAGTGCTACTGAAAAAGTTGTTATTTAATACTTGTAAGAACTGCATCAGCTCCAGTTGGTAACACTGTTAACAGCTGGTATTCATATGTTAAGAGAAACCCATTCTCGTTGACTAAAGAACTCAAAAATCATAATGGTAAACTATCACAACCCCAGAGGACTACAAGTTAAATATCAGCTATAACACAATTTTTACTAGACAATCTCCCCATCCTCCTTTTCTATGTCTTAACTACTCCCTTACAGTGAGAAGGTGCCCATGTGAGCATATTCCTCTGGGAAACTGCTTCACCCCAATTGAAATACTGTACTGGGGCCTTCCCCAAAGCTCCATCCCAACCCTTGAAAGACCTACAAGTTGCAGGGGAGGGGGGCACTTCTTTTGCCATGTTAAGGCACTTTCTTCCTTTCGGCTTTTACCCATTTTTGAATATACAGATCACCCCAGCATATTAAGAGAATGTTATTGACATTTTCTGGAAGGTGTTAAAGAGGTTTACTATTGGTGACTGTGTAAGTTTCTCAAGTGGCTGTCCTTGTACGAAAGTTACATTTACCTGCCTGACAACAACTGCAAAATAAACCCCTGGTTTTATTAAAAAATCTCTTTTTAATCATCAAAGCATATCTTTGGAAAGATTAAAAACATGAACTTTACTGCCAAAGAAGGTAAATGTGTAGCAATTATATATGAAGTTTGAATTATTTAGTATGACTAATAAAAGCTTTCTAGTATTCTGAGATCAGTACAATAGAAAGAAAATTGTAAGACTCAATAACTAACAGTGCTCTCTTGGGTAGCACATATGCAAATAGCTAACAGTATGACTCTGGAATAAGTCAATGATCTTCCTTCACATCCTCCATTGTTTAGTAATTTTTAAAGTTTTTCCTAGTTAATGAAAATCAAATATTACTGTTCTTCCAAGTCAAAAATCAAGAAAGTTAATATAAAGCTGGTATCCAGGATGATACATGATATTTTATGGTACTTGTGTAACTACTCTATTGTACTAATTTCAGGAGAATGGAAAGAGGCACATATTTACATTTTTATAAATAAAATAATGCTAAAATAACTATATCATGTCGTGTTGTAATTAAAACACAGATCTCTCCATCCTACAAAGAATAATTATGTCTTGGTTCCAAAGACCTATCTTGAAAGTGTACTAGTGTTTGTTTTGCGTGAGAATAGCGGGAGAAGAGAAAATTAAAGGCAGGAAAATTTCTAGATTGGGAATTTGATAAACATTTAACTCCCAGGTTTAAGAGTAAGGAAACGAATATTTTATTTGCCTATTATGAATCCCATAGTAGGTGTTACTCGATTCACTCAGTTTAACACTTGAAAATAAATGCTAACAGTTATTCTACAGGTTTTAACGATGAGAAAACCGAGGCTCTGAGGTTAGGAAGTCAGTCGTTCAGTGTACAAGAGGTACAGCCAGGTAGATTCCAAATTTACTAGTGCTGAAAGCTTCTCTTTCAGAACACGAAGCTACAATGAAAATAATTAAATCAAGAAAATACAGACGCCAAAGTGAATTGGGTGACAGCAAATAATCCAATTTCCTCCTTTCCTGACTCATACTATAAGCTCTAACACTATACAACCCCTAAAAATTCCTACTATGCCTCCTATGGCTAAAGCAGATGCCTCATTTAGAGAGAGCCCAGTGAACAAATTTGTGAGGAAGGAGGAGGCCCGCTCCAGGCACAGAGGACGAAAGGAGGGCAGAGTGTGTGGCGCGCGACAGTCCCAGAAGGAACCAGGGCGGGACCATCGCACTGTTTCCGGGGTCTGCAGGCTGTGGGACGCGGCTCCGCCACCCGACCGCCACCCCTAGGGCCCGGCCCGCGCGCTCACCACTGCTCTGTGCCTGCACGCCGCCGCCGCCGCCGCCGGGAAAGGTTTCCTCAGCCGGGCCCTCGTACGGGGTGGAGGGGGAGGGCACGCCGTAGGGCGGGCTCTTCTCAGCCCAGTGCAGGTTGCGGCTGCCCGGGATGTCTGGGGGAGTCGTCACCCAATGGCCTAGGTCCGACCCGGAGCTGAAGGACCTTGCAGGGAAAGCGACTCCAAAGCCCTGCTCGTCCCGGGCACCACCCCGATAGCCCAAGCCATCGAATCCCTCTGGGCGCCGCGGATGCATCACAGCCGGGGCAGGATGAGGTGAGCCCACCGCAGCTGGGGCTACGGCGACCTAAGGCCACACAGTTTTCTCCGCTAGACAGCCGCGTCCCGGGAATTCTGACAACCGGAAGTCACGATCAACATCCGGAAGCTGGCGGTCACGTGATCAGAGTCTCTTCCGGTCACATTTAGTACTTGGTTGCTAGGGAGACCCGGAAGTGACAGTGACCGAAACCTAACTCTTAAAACTATGGTTCAGGAGAAGGTGAGAGGATCAATATGGGGTTTATTAACTGATACGGACTGGATGGGAAGGTTCGAACGAGATGTTTCTTTTAGGGAGAAGGTAACGAACTGGTCAAACTGACTAGCTGATATGTACCAAAAATATGTCTTCTCACTGGGCTGATGTTTCGCCGGTCCCAAGTGAGCTGTAAGAGGTTAAATTTGCGGCGTGTTAATAATGTCCCACTTAGTTTTGTGTCCTGCTTTTAGGGTTTTGCATAAAATCTATCGAGTGAACTCAGCGGTACCACGGACTACCAGAGGAAGCATTTAGAAAAGTTCAAGTGACAGTCAAGGGAGAAACAAACCCACACACGTCCAAACAAACTGCCCTGTGAGATTTAGGAATTATGCATTTTACTTCTTCAAGGACGCAGAGTAACTATAAACAGTTTCTATCTCCTTTTGTCCTTATTCATCTAAATCTCTCAAGGAATTTAAATTCCAGATATGTCATTGAAAATCGAGACACCCTGATGAACAACACGGAGGACATCTGTAGAGTTCCCTACTACCTGTTTCCATTAGTTCCATGGGCTTCTGGGTCAGTGTCCCTCCATAGGTTGGACCAGGTCTTACATGCCTCTTCCTCACTGGACGCTTAGAATTCCAAAGGCTTTTAGAAGAGAACTTTGACGTGCTGCTCTTAATCTTTCATATGTTAACCTTTATTGGAAGGTATAGCTTCGTTATGAATGAACTGACTTTCTTTTTATTATTATTAAGTTTATTTGTACATTTTAGGTATACAATATGATGACACTCGTCACTGGGAATTTGTACCTTTACATGATATATCTTGGTTCTTATTTTTCCCCATTCCCTGCCCTCCCTTCAACCCCTCCACCCCTATTTACAAAGACTTTGTTTCTGTTTTTTTCCTTATCTCGTATTTATTCCTTTCCTTTACCCTTTCCATTTCCCCGTCCCCTTTAGACCTTTTCTTCCTATTTTACATTATGTATTATACATTTTAATCTAGTTTTCATTATGGCTTGGGCAACAGGTGCTGAATTTCTTAGTGTATCCAGTGTTACTCCAGCAGAGTGCACATTACTGGATCACTAATATCAAATGAGTTACTGGGCATGGCAACAAAAAATATTTCTCTATTCCTTGGGAATAATTAGCACAAAGATGAGATTATCTCTTCTTTTTTTAACTGTAAAGAGAAAGATTAAGTTTGTGTATGTATACTTTTAATATACAAAAAAGACACTTCACAATTTCATGACCCCCTTAGAGAAGGGAGGATTTAAAATGAGAACGTGGGTAGTGAGTTGAAGAGAAACAGCAGTATGAATTCTTACTCTCAAATTCTTTCTGTAATATAGTTTATTTTTTTCTTTATTAAAAAACAATAAGTAAATATTTTTATGCAGAGGATTGGAAAAATTTCTAGGACAGCAAAGGTAAAGCCATGTAAGGACTCAGGGGAAGATTATAATTAATTTGACTATAAAATTTAAATTTCTGTTTGGTAAATTTAAAAAAATTAATGAAATTTAAAAAGTAAGTCACGACCAGGAAAGAATGGCATTTTCTACCAATGTATAAAGACAAATCAATAGAAATGTAAGCAGCAAGTATGGCAAGGCACTTTAAAAACAAATGTATATAATAGGTAATATTCATATGAAAAATATGAGATAAAATTTAATAACAGTCATCTCTTATCTATGAAAACTACAATATGTAAAATGGAAGAAGCAGATCATTTTGCCATGTAGGAAGAAGTTAGCTCTTGTTTAAGGAATGATATAAAAATGTAATGAAACTTTTTTTTTTTAGATACCGGGTATCTAATTCGAGTCTTTGTGCTTGTGAGGCAGGCGGCAGAACCACTGAGCTAAATCCCCAGCCCAGAAAATTTTTGATAATGAATAATTTGATGACATATAAGAAAACCATAAAAGTGATCAAAGTTTTGAATCATAAATCTTAGGAAACAAATATAAAGTTTGTTTCCTAAACATGTTTATGGCATGCATGGTACACCTATTTATGGAATAATTTTTGACAATAGAAAAAATAGGGATCTAAATATCAAGTACTTAATTATTAAATTATATACGTATATCCCTTTGATTAAAATATATTTATTAAGCACCTATCATGTGTCAGATACTGTATTAAGCAGTTGGACAGAATGGTACGTTAGCTTCATTGTGGATGTGACCATGGCCCACATATCTAATGTATACAATTTAAAGGAGAGGTTTATTTAGCTCAAGATTTCAGAGGTTTTAGTCCATGCTTGCCTGGTTCTAAAGCAGAAACATCATGGCAGAAAGGTCTGGTAGAGCAAAGCTGCTCATTTCACGGTGGTCCGGAAGCAAAGGACAGGGAAAGAACATTAAAAAGGAAGGGGTCAGGGAATAGATATAATCCCAAGGATCAAGCCCCCAATCCACCAAGACACAAAGAAGAATTCTTAATTATAAGATCTTAGGTATTTTTCAAGCCAATCAAGTTGACTGTCAAAATTAACAGACATAACTGGTAAATGAGCTAGACAAAGTCCTCATTGTTAGAAGTAACATTCTACGTAGAAAAAATATATTGTGTCATATAATTAAACAATTCAGGGCCAGATGACACAATTCTATTAAAAATTGAATAGTAATACAGGTAGCTTTTTTAGGTTAGCTTTTCTAGAACACAAAGGTCCTCTTTGAAGAAGTGACCTTTGACCACATTTCTAAATGAAGTGAGAATGAGCCATGCTTGAATATCTAGGAGAAAATTTTAACAGGCAGAACTAAGCATATGACCCTGATAATGAGCTATCTATCAGTGGGCAGCCAGGGAACAATGGTGAAAGTGAGAGAAAATGAGAGTTGAAAAGCACCATCTCACAGGACAAGATGGGTAGTGGTGGACTACATTTAGGTTTTGCAGGATTAGAGGAATAATATAACCTTGTTGATAATTTGTACAAATCACTAGGCTTCTGTTGTGCAAGGGCAGTAGGCTTCTGTATTTAGTAAGTAGGCTACGACAAGCTATAGAAGCAAGTGGTAACAATCTAAGTTGAAACGTTTTAAAAATTGCTTTAGGGATATAATCAGTGGACAGACAGCAATAAAGATATTTCTGGATTATTCTGTTTGCACCTTTTTGTCATCCTATATTTTTTCAAAATATTTAAAAAATAATGATCTCAAAATAAATGGTCCAGAGTTTATAGCTTTAAACTAGCTTGACAGAATAAAAATGGAATTAAATTAAAAGATGCCTCTTTAGAGAGAGACTAATATACATTGTATGAGAATGACAGTAAAATAATCTGTATTGATTACTGCAGCATAACAAATTCCTCCCATAACAATTATAGTAGTTTACAGCAACATTTATTATCTCTCACTTTCTATTAATCAAGAATATGACAGTGGCTTAGCTGGGTGGTTCTGGCCCAGATCTCTTGTGAGGTTGCCTTTAAGAGTTTAACTTGGGGATGAAGTCATTTGAAACTTGACGGAGTTTAATTGGAGCTGGAAGGTCTGCTTCCAAAATATTTCTCAGTTTTGTAAAGAAAGCCTCTGCCTCCATTTTTTGCTAAGCATCAGGAGAGTGCAATTCCTTATCATATAGACCTCCATAGAAGTACTTGAAAGTCCTCCTGACCTGAAAGCTGCCTTTGTCCAGAGAAAATAATCTCAGAGAGAGCGATGAAGCAATACAATGTGTTTTGCAACTCAGTCACACCTCATCAACTTGCCACATTCTCCCCGCCCATCACTGAATCCAATTCCATGCTAAAGGGGAAGGAGATTTGACTCTATCTTTTACAGGGAGGATGTACAAAAATTTTGAGTTTGTACTTTAAAAACATCAGGATAGTAAACCATTTTATAACAATAAATGTATACAGGATGTTATAGGCACTAAAATTAATAATCAGGAAAATTTTTACTTAAGTAACAGTGTAGATTCCCTTTTTCTTCATTTGCGTGTGTGTGTGTGTGTGTGTGTGTGTGTGTGTGTGTGTGTGTGTGTGTGTGTGTTACTGGGGATTGAATCCAGTCTGGGCTCAAGCTTGTGGTCCTCTTGCCTCAGATTCCCGGAGTCTGATATTACAGGCATGCATCACCATACAATGCTTATTTTTTCTATAGAAAGAAGATTTGATGAATTCATTTCCTTTGCAAAGAGCCATCTGATAGCACTATGGTTTGGATATGGTGGAATGTATTCCCAAACAGTTCATGTGCTAGAATCCTGGTCTTCAGAGTGCAGGGCTGAGAAGCGGTGGAACATTTGAGAGGTGAGATCTCCTGGCAGATGGTTAGGTCACTGGGGATGCTTCCCTCAGAAGGGAACCAGTTAGTTTATATGAGAATGGGCTGTTACAAAAAGCAAGATTGGCCTCTGAGTCCCTCTTCCTTCCTGGACCCCCAGGTGGTCTCTCCCTGTTGGTTGTGCTCCCACCCTGATGCCATTCCTATATTGTGATATAGTCAGGGGCGCCTTCACCAGAGCCTTAAATAGATGAGGCCACATGATCTTGGACATTCAGTCTCCAAAACTCGTAAGTATGCACATTTGATGTCTAATCATAGTCATAGAAAACAAGCTAACACAGAGAAATAATATCTCAAAGTAGTTTTATATTATTAAATATAGTCATTGTTCAGTTTCACTCAAATTAAATTATAAAAGAATAGCAACCATTTTAGCAGTTTTTAAGGGGGTTGGCACAGAAAGTTATGGCCCTGACAAACAACAGTACTGAACAAGCACGTCTTTTATTTATGTTAACACTTTATTCAGATTCTGACACTGAGTGATTCAGGTCACAAAATAAAGTAAAACTCACCTACATTTTTATTTATGAGTTCATCACCAACATTTATTAAGCAGCTACTGAAGGTGGCATTTTTAATTGGTGGATTTTACTTTTAACATGTCCATTAGGATTATTTACCATCATCACAAACATGTCATTTCAAAAAAAAAAAAACTCTTTAAATAAATTTTATAAATGTTTTAAAAAAAAACCCATTGGTGCAATAAATAACTTGGATAAAATGCAATGCAAATAACTTAAAATCTTGCCTTTTCTGCTTCTGCCTCTAATGTACTTTCATAAGGGAAATAGGCCAGTGCAATATCATTACAGTTTTGCTTTCCAGTGTTAGGGGTGAAACTCAGGGCTTCATCCATGCTATACCAACTCTCTACCACTGAGCTATATCTGCACCATTTGAGTGTTAATTGCCTTTTCTTTCTTTCGTTGACTGATACAATTTTCTGATATCACTCCATTTATTCCTTTAAAGAGAGCTTAAAGTACTAGCAAAAAACTTGAATCTTTGGTGGCACGAATAGAATTATAGAATATAAATAATTTACCAATTAGATTACATACTCCTTGATCAATCTAAATCAATATCACCAAACTTCAAAAATACCAAAAAAAGGTCACCTAGAAAGCTGTTAAATTATGAAACAAATATTAAGTTGAATGTAGCCATTTAAACCAATTGATATTTCTAGGGATATATCTTTTTTCCTGCTGTTCACTTTTGATGTCAGCTTTTTCCCCTGGAAAATCAATTCTAATCTAAAAACCTAATTGCAATATATTAACCAGTTTGAAACATGGCAGTGAAGATACTGATAACCTTGATTGCAAGTAGAATGAAGTGCAATGAAATCTGTAGTCTAAGAAAATTGGAGAAGTGAGGTTTATAGTTTGAGAACTATGATTAAAATGTTATATTTTATTTTGTTTGTTTTGAGACAATCTCACTTTGTAGTACAGATTGGCTTTGAGTTCACTATGTAACCCAAGCTGGCCTTGAATTTACAGTGACCCTCCTGCTTCAGCCTCCCCAGTGCTAAGGTAACAGACATGTGCCACCACCCCGGGAAAAATATAATATATATTTTAAATTGTTTAGTTTTGTAACAGCTTCATCTGTTTTGAAATTATATAGTGAGCACTCATTATGTAAAATTCTTTACAAAACATTTGGATAAATGCTATAGAAAAGAGTGACTCAGAGTGCTAAGGAAACATTGAGAGGTGGCACCTAAATTATTCTGAGGAAGGTCATTGTGTTAGAAGGCTATCAGAGTGAGGTGGCTTCCAAGATAGATGCACTGTTTAGAATTCTTCCCATAGAAAATAACAGTAACTCATTCTGTTTCTTCAAGTAGTGAATTTATTGAAAAGATAAGCAGAATTTATACATTTGATAGAAGGCTGGAGGACTGGGTTTGGAAATGGGTACATTCCAATGATATTCGGGAGGACCAAGAAATGGCAGGTGCCACAATGATCTTTTGGCAGGAAAATATGATAAAGATGGTAAATTATCATTGCCTGAGCAGGCTTATTGATACTGTCATCACGGTATCATTGGCTCAGGATGAAAAATCCTGGACTAGCACAGCTCGGTCATATTCTGGCACAGTGGTTGTCAGAGTTCTAAGAGAGGATGATCTTGATCCTCTGACTCCTGTAGTGGAGGATGGGAAACATGCCCTGTGTCGATTATACAGGGGACGCCTCCAACAGCGTGGGAGGAGGATGGAAGACTTTAGAGCCAAAATGCTAACACACGTGTAGTGCTGTCTTGACATCAACACACTTCTTTGGTTGTGTGGTGTCAGGAAGCAAGAGGCAGTGTATGTTTGTGACTTTAGTGATAGCAGTTGAACTGAGGAGCACATTTAATTTCAGACAGAGAAAGAACATGTATGTATTTGTATGTTAAGAAAACTTAAATGGTATGAGAAAAACATGGAGTTCAAGAAGTCTGGCTTTAAAAAAGGAGTAAAGTGGGGTGAGCAGGCAGTTCTTTGAAATATATGGCATATTAAGGGGTTAGGAAAATTTTGCCTTACTAATTTTTGCAATTGCCAATTAATAGACAGTTTAATATTTTAAAAATTTAACAAAAGTGTTAGATTTGAGTTTTAAAAACTTCATTGTTTAAAAAGGAAGTAAAAAGAAATAAGATGTGTTATGCACACCAACTCCCCATGATGAATGTAATCATTATGTGCAACAAATGTGTAAACATAAAAAACTCTAAAAAACCTTCACTCTAGATGACTGACTAAAAGGAGGAAGGGAAAGCATAACTTTGTTATTGCTTTATTTTTCTAATGAAGTTTCTAATTTTTTTTTATGTTAGTATTTGCAGGTCTCACTATAGCTAAATGTTTAACTCTAGTATTATACCAATATTATTTTAAAATTATTTACATTGTTATTTCTCAGCCAGTCATGTTGTAATCTCAGTACTTGAGGATTACCATCAGTTCAAGACCAGTCTGGGCTACATAGTGAGCTCAAAGCCAGCCTGCCTAGTAAGACCGTCTCAAAACCCCTCCCCGCCAAATTTTAAAAATGCAGTATTATTTCTCATTTTAAGATTTAGTCCCTCTTAAATTTATTCTTACTATGGTGAGAGATAGTGTTTTGAAATATTGTTCCTTCCAATTTATGGTCAAATTCTACAATTTCCCCCCATTGAACTTTATCATACATAAATTGCTATGCTCTGTTTTAGTCTACTGATAACATTAGAACTTAAACAGTTTCACAGTAAGTTCTAAAGGATAGTAAGCCAGCTTCCTTCCCTTGCTTATTTTGTATAGTTTTCTTGGCCCTATGCCATTTATCCATCTATGTGATCTTTCAAGCCATTCATTCTTCAGACTGCCCTAAAACATACCCACTCAGAAGTCACTCTTTTTCTCTCCCTTTCTCTTTAGAATTTGAAATGTATTCAGATTAAATGCATTGTGTTAACTTTAAATAATAATAATAATTATGAGTTTATTTTTTAAAAAATCTGAGATGGTTTCTTCAAGTATTCATTTTACTCTATGTACTGAAACCAAATGTATTCCTTAAGTGTTCTCATGTAAAACACATTATACATTTCTCTTTGGTGAAATTCATCATTTAGTGTCTAGTGTGAGTTGAAGATTTAATTTCATTCTCTCACCCCACTCCACACTAAAAGAACTCCTTTATTTTACTCTCCTTTTGAAAAGTAGGGAAATACCCCATTTTTTTCTCATACTTCATTATTTTAACCTGGATTATAAAAGCAGTAAAAATAGCATTTCTTTCCATTTTTTCCCAGTTTTATTTTGCAGTGGGAAAATTAGATATATACCTGGTCTCATGGCTCAAAACCAGTTTTTTCCAGTAATAACTTCTACATATTTGAATTCTTTGTTTTGATTAGTTGTAAGTGATCTACTCTTTGGGCAGTTTATTTTGAGTGATTTTTGAGTAGTTTGATGTGTAACAAACCTGGGAAAAGAATTTTTGAATTCTTAATAAGTATATGCTATTGACTTCTTTGTACAATTCATTTGCAGCTGCTTTGTTCTTTAAATGCGCTGTAGATTCAACTAATTTTTATATGATAAGGTACAATCATTCAGCCCACAATCTTTTCATTCTTTGTGAATAATGTTAACATTTGTATGTTTTATGCTTTTAATATTTCCCCAGATCTCTTGAAATTAACACATATAATCCACCAAATGATTTTTAAGTAATTTGGTTTTCTCACATTCATTTTAATTGGAATATAGTGAATACTCGTACTCTTTATTTATGCCTTGGATCTTTTTTAAAAGTCTCTTTTCTTGTACCAGTGCTAATTCTTACAACTCATTTATTAGTTTTTTGTCCATGTGTGGAGCTCTCTCCCATACAGTATGTCTCTTATACTTTTCCTCCTTTTGTATTGGTTACTCCCCTCAATACTTTACTAATTTATTAGGAAGAACGAGTTTCAGAGAAGCCTGGGGTCAGATATGATTTGTTTTAATACCACAGTGTACTTGAAAAGACTTATCTCCTGCTTATTATGAACACAAAAACTCAGGACTGGTATAATTCTTGTTCAGATCTGTTCAGTTTTTTTGAAGTCAGTTTTAAGGCTACTTCCTTGGTAGGACAATCTCTGCAACGTCTTATCAGAAATATTCCTCCCATTGTTCCATACAGCAAATCACGTGTTGACATTTGTGGAATACATAAAATTGTGCTGCATCAGTAAGCATGGGGATTTTGTAAGGATTTTATTTTATACTTTCGGATGGTGCTTTTTGAGGCGTTCTGTTGCCTTTAAATTTGCCCCCTTGTGGTCAGTAGGTAGCAGAGAACCCTGGCAGCTTTTATTTACCCATTGTCGAGTGCGGAGGACACTGGTGGCTTCAGAGTTTCTATATAAAAAGACTTAAGGCACAGCAGTTTGATTCACAGACATAGCTACTTTTCCATGGAAAGCATCCTTTGTTTTTTAGTGTTTAATTTTATTGTCTAGAGAGCGGCGTTAGGACATCAAGGACACGCTAAGGCAATGCTAAGCCACTTCTTGCCAAGGGTGCTGGCAGGACATATAAAATATGCAGTGTAGTTGAAATGAATGCTTATAATGTGCTTTGTGATTACATTTCAAAGCCCATAAAGGTCTTTCACACACACACACTTTCTTTCCAAATTGCACCCTTCACACACACACACTTTCTTTCCAAATTGCACCCTAACTAGGAAGTGGGAAGGACAATAGAATTTCGCTTCCCCATTGGATAAACTCTGGTCGCTAGCCCCTAAGGGCACAAACTGGGCTCTGAAGAGCAACTCCTACAGCGTCCTTAGCAACTCCAGTTGGCCGGGCTTCTCCATGCCTCAGCAGGGGTGAGTAGCTACCAGGACTCACTTCTGATGACTGGGGAGCTCACAGGGTTGGCAATCCACCATTCCAGAGCAACCAGGAGACCAGAAAGACCCACTCTTGGGAGTACAGGGCCTCCTTTCTTAGGCTTCCAGAGGTCTGGCTGTTAGAACAGACGCAGTCTTCAAGCCTGGTGCAATGCCCTGGTGGAGACCGCCACCCAGACCATTGGATACGGGAAGCTTTTTGCGAGGAGACACGAGGAATTGGGGGATTTTCTTACTGCCGTGTATGGGGGCCATTTACTTTCCTCTGAACTCCCCTGTTCCCCTGGGCGATCCCTAATTCAGAAGCTTGCTTGCCTTGCTGGTCAGTTTTCATGCCTTTCTGTAGCTGGGAAAAATGAACTTTTGTGCTTACACTTTTTTGGACTTAGAAAGAGAAAGTTCAAAAATGGAATACAGTGTGTGTGGGTGGGGATAATGAAATAAAAGGGGGTTTCAAAGCAATTAATATAAGAGAAGGTCCAGGTAATCAATTAGGAAAACATTCTAGAAGAAAAGACTGTGATAGGAGTCTATTTACTTTATCTGCATATCTAAATGGATTCTGTCTTTTAGTGGTGTTCCATCAAATTGCCTTTTGTTCTTTAGGGTTATAGTCTAAATATTATTTTCCCTAATGTATGTTACCTTTCCTTTGGCTTGATATAATTTTAATATTATCTAGTTTTCAGAAATTGTTCTTTAAAATTTTGCTGTCTATCCAGAGCTCCCAGGATAGTGTTTGGTCACAGCAGGTTCTAAAAAATAGTTTGGTGCTCTCAGTTAATTAACATTTTCTAAATGCATCACACATATGATTCCAGGAGGTGGTGTCTTGAAAGTTTCTGACAAGCAAAGCAAGCAACCTTCTGAACGGGGGATGGCCCAGGACAAGAGAGTTCAGAGGGAATTAAATGACCCCTGTTCATAGAAGTAAGAAAATTTTCTACTTCCTCTGGTCAGTAAATTTGGTAAATCTACCTGTCATGCTGCTGTTGAAGGGGATTCCCAGTGCACATGGACGTACCCCCAAGTCTTCTACTTTGTGTCACTTTGTTCAACCCAAAGTTTCCCTGACTTAATGTTTTTAAAAACACATATTTTTAAAGTAATTTCTCTTAAGAGGCCATATTCCACAGTATGCATTTTGGGAATTGTTGTTGTAAAATCTGTACTCTTTATTTTTGCTTATATTTCCATAAAAATCAAATGAATTAGTTTTTTAAAAACATTTATTGATTCACTATAGTGTCAAAAAATCTTTTCAAAGGAACTGTATGACATTAGTAAATTATTTTTATTACTTTGAATTACATATTCTACAGTAATACACTAATTCAATTGATAAATCTATATTGTTAGCACCACTGCCTTTTTACTGTACAATGACAACATTTTGTTGGAACCATCATTGAAGCAATATTACATCTACTACGTAGCAGATATAACTAGTGAATGGATAAATTTGAAAAGTCATTGATTTTCCTTTTAGAATGTCTTTCTGCAGAAGGCAAATTAAATGATTTTAATAGTGGCCTACTAGAACAGTGATAAGAACCTAAATTCAGAAAGTAGCTATTAAGTGATATTAAATTTCTGATGTAGAACAGGTTGGATTTGTTTTGGGAAGTTATAGAAACTATATATTTGAAGATGACAGTGTAGTCAATAGCATTGGAATAGATAGTGTCAAATCTTGATAGGTGAGTGTGACCATAAAGGTACTCTGGTCATGGTCTGATGTGAACATCAAGATAAAATCTATGTGAAAGAACCTCATAGACTACAAATCCCATGCAGAGGTTTTTATTACTAGTTCTAGAAGAGCTCCTGAAGAAATAGGTTTAAAGAAGATTTCCAGAAAGACAAAGGACATCCTAGGATTGTATTAATAACTATTGGAAGGTGGTAGAGAAAATTTGCTGTAAACTTTCCTCTTCAGTAGAAAGGTTTATAAGCAAGCAAAGAAAAATCAGAGCTAATGAAGAGCTGGGTCTTGAAAATAGTTGTCATAAAAAACAACTATGTTCTCTTAACTTTTATTTCACTATTTGATGGTTTTGATTTATTTAAAAAATAAAACAGTACAATTTTTATGACCAATTTTATTTATCAAAGATTTTACTTCTGTTCTGATCCACAAATTCAATAAGTAACCTGTGTTTTGGGTGCGCTAGAAAATAACAGGATATTTAAATAAATATAATTTAAATTTTATGAAATTAATTTTTGCTTTTAAATCATCTTTAGTTGATTCAAGAAAAAATGATAGCTATTTCTTGATAGTAATGTAAAAGTGAAATAACTCAGCAAGTCCAGTTTTGTCTGTTTGAATTTAATGTTGTGATTTCCCTTCAGAGTAAAAGAAATGTGTGTTATATTGATAGCAGAAACAATTTTTTAAAATGTACTTATTTTAATTTTCTATTTCTCTTTCAAACTGTCTTTATATCATATGCCACTCTCTCCCTTTTTCATTTTTATAAGGCAACAAGCTATATATATATAACTATCTTGAGAAATCAAAGGGTACAAATTTATCTTGCAAGTGGTTTTAACACATGCTTCAAGAATATCTTTTCATCAAATAGTGTATTGGAAGCTGAATGTTTCAGCTACACTATTGATGAATATTTGTGTCTCTAGTTTCCATATATATATATACCTCAATTTGAAATTGTAATTATAACTTTTTTCTTTTGCTAACTTCTTCTAGACAGTTCTCATCCTTTTATTTCTTTTATGCCACTTCTAAATTTCAAAGAATTTAGATCCACTATGAATAACCATCTTTTTGGATAAGGATTTTATCTATCAATCACCTATCTTATGCCTTAGTCTCTTACAATGCAGGAAGTAGTTTATCTTAACTGATCCTCATTGATACCTTAAAACATGAAGTATTTTTATTATTTAATCCTCATGCAACTCTACTTAGTAAATATTAAGATCTTCTTTTACAGAGTAGGAAACTAAAATTTGAATAAGGATTTGAGGAGCAGCACAAAAACCCAGTGCCTATTCTTGTCCACCTTCCTGCTTTAAGAGTTAAAAATGTTGGCCCATAGAAAAACCTGCACTCAAATATTTATAGTAGCTTTATTCATAATTGCCAAAACTTGGGAACAACCAAAATGTCCTTCAGTAGATAAATAGATAAAGTATCCATACAGTGAAATGTTACCCAACACTGTAAAGAAATGTATTACCAAGATGTGAAAAGGCAAGAAGAACCTTAAGTATTATTACTAATTGAAAAAAAAGCCAATCTTTAAAAACTGTATATTGTATGATTTTAACAATAATGAATTCCCAACTGTGTGTGGTAGCACACACCTGTAAGCCCAGCACTTGGGAGGCAGAGGTAGGAGGATTGCCATGAGTTTGAGGCCAGCCTGGGATACATAGTTCAGGGCCAGCTTGAATTATAAAGCAAGACGCTGTCTCAAAACAAACAAACAAACAAACAAACAAACCGAAACAAAACAAAACAAAAACCAATAAGGAATTCCAGATAAGAAAAAACTATTGAGATAGTGGAATGTTCAGTAATTGTGGAGGTGATGGGGTGGAGTTAAGGGATGCTGAACAGGCAGAGCACAAAAATATTTTTAAGTAGTGAAAACACAATGTATAATACTATAATGGATGATGCAATACATTTTAATAATCCACATATAATACACACCACCAAGAGTGAACCCTAGCATAAACTGCGGACTTTAGGTGATTATGACACATGTATGTTCATTAATTGTCATAAATGAAATTCTCTCACAGGGGATTCTGACAATGACATGTATGGGTATAGGATATGTATTAAAAAATTCAGTTCTTTTTTTCTCAGTTTTGCTCTTAACCTGAAACTGTTCCCAAACATTAAAGGCTTTAAACAATCAACCCATGTAAACATATGGAACAAACAATGTCATGAATTTTAATGTCAGATGACCTTCAAGATTTTAAATATTATCTAAATTGGATTTTAATAGTATCTCCTACATAAAGTAAGGAGTATCTTTTTATTATTTATGTTTTAATAATATCCATAGCAAAAATTGAGTCGTTAGACTCATTAACTTATGTTAGTAAAATGACACATATAGAAATTTTTAAAAATCATTAATTTCAAATATTAACTTTAAGTTTTATTCAACATAAAAAATGTTGTATCTTCAATCTTAAAAGCACTTTTATTTTCACAAGTAGAAAATGCCTGTAAATTTAACTAAAATTATATTTGAAGAAAGAAAAAGATTCTGGATTCATGAGCTCCTAATGTGTGAGTCTTCTTTTAATAGCAAATAAAATTTGAACATTACATCACAGTATAAAAAGCTTACTGTTAACTTCTCACAGATTGGAGCAAAATGATTACCCACACCGTTGCTAATTGCTAAATTATGGAATATCTTTTTAAATTTTTCTAGTGCTTCCAAGACCAATTTCCATAAATTAGAGGTTTAAATTGCATTCATGTATAATCTCATCATTCTGTTGCTTATAATTCTAGGCAGAATCAGCTGGATTCTCAATTCAATCTCACAAGATTCAAATCAAAATAGAAACTGGGAGAAAAGATTTGAAAACCACATGTATGATAAGGCCCTTATATATAAAGAATTCAGACAACTCAATTGCTAATATAAAAGCAAATAACTTGAAAATGTGGGTCAAAAACCCATAGACCTTCCTCAAAAGACAGAGTCCAACCGTTACATGAAAAGATAGTCTACATAACTAAACACCAGAAAAATACAAATTAAAGTCACAATGAATTATCATTTCATACCTGTTAGCAAAATGATTTATAAAAGATGAAAGAAGTGTGCCGGTGATTTAGCTCAGCGGTTCGGTGGCCTGCTTTGCAAGTGCAAGGACCGGAGTTCAATCCCCGGTACCAAAAAAGAAAAAAAAAAAAAAAAAAAAAAAAAAAAAAAAAAAAGATGAAGTGTTGATGATAAAATGTGGTACACATGCATAGTACAATATTATTGAGCCATAAAAAGAATGAAATCCTGTTTATATGTAACAATTTAAATGGAACTGGAAATGATTATGTTAAATGTAGTAAGACTGGCACAGAAATACAAGTAGTCTGTAATAGTACTCATTTGTAGAATCTATCGTATTGATCTCACAGAAAAAGAGTTGAGAGTAGAACAGTGGTTACCAGTGTGGCGGGGCAAGCAGTAGGAAAGGAGAGATACAGAAAGACTGATTATTGAATATTGTGTTGCTGTTTGACAGGATAAAGAAGTTTCAGTGTGCATTTGCACAACAGGATGATTGTATATATCATTGGGATAGTGTATATCTCAACAAATAGAAGAAAGGGTGTTAAATATATTTATCATAAAGAAATCAAATATTTGAGAACGTAGATATATATATATAAAACTTGATTGCACAATAAACATGTGTTGAAATACAACACTGTACTCCATCATTATGTGCAATCTTTATGTTTTATATTTTATTTAAGAATTAATTTGAGCTTTAAGAAAGTTTTTGTGAGAATGTAGAGAAAAGGCAATACATTATGATATAAATTAGTATAACTAGTATGGAAAAGAGTGTGATAGTTCCTTAAAATTTAAAAATAGAACTACCATATGGTCCATCAATAAGAACTTCTGGGTATACAAAGAAAATTAAATTAATATGTTAAAGAGTTATTTGTATGGCCATGTTATTTATAGCTTTAGTCAAAATTGTCAAGATAGAGAATTAAGCTAAGTGTCCATTGATGGATGAAATATTGTATATATACATAATGGGATGTTATTTAGCCCTAAAAGAGAAAAAAGTTCTTTTGATATAAGGGGAATAGATGTAATTCCTGAACATGCTGCATATCTGAAACACAAGTCCCTGTTCTGTAAGATCGAAGAATGAATTCTAAGAACAAGGGAGATTAAGAGTAGGAAAAA